GAATTGGCTTAAATGGCCCTTTCGTTTTAATGTGACACGGGTGACAAGACGTGTACAACAGATAGGTGTGTGTGTCAGTGGGTTTGTTATATAAATTGAACTGCAGCTTGCATTCACTTTGGTTGAAAGAAACCCAAATGTCCAAGAAGGCCACTATATTCCTGGAAAATTCTGCGGTGAATTTAATGGAATGGTGTGCATTATTAAGATAGTTAATAAATACTGCTAGGCGGGTTTCTCCTAGTGTCCAAATCATGAAAATATCGTCAATAAATCGGGCGTAAAAGTCTGGGCAAAATCTCCCAAGTATCACCGCTTGAGACAACCATCACGTGATCGAGCACGTGGACCATGAAGACCACAACAGAACTTCCGCCCCAACAGGGGTAACCAAGGCAACACTTCTCGTGACTTGAAACGGGGCTTGGACTTGTTGTCTAAACACCTTAACTTTAACAACAACAGCTTGTGCAATTAACTTTCCAACCTGAATCTAAACAATAATTCAGATAATAAAACTGGTGAATCTTATCAGGACAACTTTGTTATCAATCTTTCCAATTATGACCTTAATCAATCCGAATTAGAGGTTCTAAACAAGAGACTCACATTAAGCCCCACCCCCAGGTTTACTGACAAAAGTAAAACTTTCTCTGACCTGAAACAATTTTTCAGGAAATTACGTCTTACACACTTTTTCCATGACTCTCCGAATGATAGTACTTTAGACCCATTCCAAAACCAAGTGGATCGCAAATTCGGTCCCAAAAGCACTTGGACCCCCAGACCCTATACTGACCCAACACTTGAGTCTTTTATCAAAGCAGTCTCCAATGACTTTTACAAACTTGGTAATATAAAATTCAGACGCCAGAACATCACCGGCGCTCAAAGTACTGCACAACAACAGCTCAAAAACGTGAAATCATCATTAATAAAAGCTGATAAGGGTTCGGCAGTAGTAATACAGAACACTACTGATTACATTAAAGAGGCCGAAAGACAGCTCTCTGACACTAAGTTCTATGTCAAATTAGACAATGACCTCACAGAAAGATTTTCTGAAATCCTTGCTAAGGAACTAACCAATCTGTTCCATAAAGAAGAACTATCACACAAATGTTTTATGGGACTCTTACCACAAAACACAGAAGCAGGCAGATTTTACCTGCTGCCGAAAATACACAAATGTTTATTACCAGGAAAAATACCGGGCCGCCCCATCATTAGTGGGAATGGCACACCTACTGAAAACATTAGTAGCTTTGTAGACGAACACATCAAAGCATTTGTCAGCAAATATCCCAGTTACCTCAGGGATACAACACACTTCATACAGAGTTTAGAATCACTTAATCTCCCAGACAACCAGATATCATGTTGGTTACTATGGATGTTACCTCGCTGTACACAAATATACCAAACGGTGAAGGTCTAAGAGCAGTTTCACAAGCCATTCAGAAATTTAAACCAGACTGGCAACTTTCGCCCACCGGTTTACTTTCTCTCTTAAAAATTGTCTTACACAATAACAATTTTGTGTTTAATAACCAACATTATCTACAAGTTGGAGGCACAGCTATGGGGACCAAAGTCGCCCCATCATTTTTATGGGAGAATTAGAGACTAAACTCCTATCTGGGCACCTTGATAAGCCGGACTTTTACACCCGATTTATTGCCGATATTTTCATGATTTGGACACTAGGAGAAACCCGCCTAGCAGCATTTATTAACTATCTTAATAATGCACACCATTCCATTATATTCACCGCAGAATTTTCCAGGAATATAGTGGCCTTCTTGGACACGTGGGTCTCTTTCAACCAAAAGGAATGCAAACTGCAGTTCAATTTATACAACAAACCCACGGACACACACTCCTATCTGCTGTACATGTCTTGTCACCCCAGTCACATTAAAACGAAAGGGCCATTCAGCCAATTCCTGAGACTCAGGAGAATCTGCTGTTCTGAATCAGATTATGACACACACAGTAGAAATCTCATTAACTACTACCTCAAAAGGGGCTACCCAAAAAAGACACTACAACAAAACAAATCCCGGGCAGATGCGTGCAAAAGAGAATCACTCTTAGCAACCAAACCCAAGCCTGCTCCAATCAGGAAACAGGTGCTCATTAGTCACTACAATCCACTGAACATGGAGCTCAACAGGATCATCAGAAACCAGTGGCATCTACTCACCCGATCTGACACTTGCAAAAGTTGTTTCTCAATTCCCCATGTATCGGCCTACAGAAGGAATCCTACAATCAAGGATCTCCTAGTCAGGACAGTATTAACCTACCCACCCACTAAACCACAAATAAGTGGCAAGGTAGTCAACTTCATAGATGAGAATTGCAAGAGAGTAGGATGCAAAATTTGCAATTCCTTAAGCAAAACACATACGTTCTGCAGCTCAACATTAGGCAAAACATTCAAAACCCACAAGTTTGAATGTACAAGTAAAAACATAGTTTACTTGCTTACTTGCAATAAATGCAAGAAACAATATGTCGGGGAATCCAAAAGAGAATTTCAGACCAGACTGAAAGAACACTTTGCAGACATCAGCTACAAGAGAGACAAACTTGTAGCCAATCACTTTAACAGTGATGATCACAGCGTCAAAGATGTTAGATATAACATCATAGCACAACTCAAGGAAAACCCTGAGTCCACTGACACCACAGTTAAGAGGAGATCACTCGAACTGAGGTGGATCTTTGAGCTAAAAACGTTCCACCCTCACAGTCTCGATGACAGAATGGTTGGCTGATTATCCCCTCTTTTGGTCAACTTGCTGTTTTATTTTCTGATAAATCAGCCCCATTCTAAGTCGACAATACTAGCATACGCCGGTCACACAACAATGCCAATACTGCATTGTGACGTCACAAACACTCCAACACAACCAAGTTGCGTGACGTCATGATGACAACAGTCTATTAGTCTGTAAACCAACAGCCAAAAAAGATGTTGGAATTACACACTTGTGCAGTCTGTGGAAAGAACAATACCCATAGGGATAATTTGCGCCACCATTTTAGCGCCACCCATTCTTCAAACAGGATTGAATGTGCAATCTGCACAAAATCCTTTAAGAGGCCTGATGACGCACGGGCACACATGAAGCGAAACCATGGGTCTTACCTGGAAGCTAACGATAAACCCGGCGACTATCTGATCAAGAAGTCTGGAGGGAAGTCCTGCGACAACAAAGTGAGTGAAAAATCCCACACCACAATTAACAATCATCCTCGTTTTCCATTTCCTTGGATCCCGGTGCTGCCTTTTACTATATGGGAAAATTACCTCATTGCAGGAGGCAAACTGGACACTGAACCATGGACAGTGTTTCCCCAACAAAACAGGGAACATCTCAAGAAGCCGACCCGGTAATATCACCGCAGAACTTGATAAAATTTTAGAAGAATATAGGGAACTTCGACCGGGAGCAACCCACATCTTACAGACCAGTATGTTACTGACCTTGTCAGTACCAGTATCAAGTGACCAGCATACTCAGCAGCCCGCCTGTATTAAGCCCAGTGTGCCCTACAAGCCATCAATTGACCAAACATTGTACAGAATAAGTGTACAATTTTAATTAAACATTGTTACATAATAAAAACACAACACGTGTCAATATCACCTTTTATTCCACTCTTACGTTTTCCTTATGTTCAATATGACACATACAGAACATACAATGTTATACCACTATAAACACTAATGTTCATTATAGGATATAATTCGCATCCTTGCCTAAAAATATCTTTGCAAAATAACTGTTTTAATTAGAACAAATCAGTGTTCTAAAAACAATCCCAAAACCAAATAGGTGTCTGTTAAAACCGGTGAGTCGCCGGCCAATTTTGATAAACCGGCGACCATTCACAACCGCCACCGGCGACCCACCCAGGCCACCGTTAACATAGATTCCGAAAATAACACCGGCGACCAAAACAACAATTTGGGAAGGCAAGTATATCCAAACCGGCGACCCACCATTTCACAAATGCATCAAACAGTTACAAAGCTAAATACAACCACCGGCGACCACCCCTCCCCGGCGGCACCAGTTAGTTGCCAAAACCGCCGACCATACATAACGTCACACCACCGGCGACCCACCACCAGCGTGTTACCATAACAACACACCGGTGACCCATCAAATAAGCATTGACAGGATTACAAATTATGGAATTAACGACCTCACCGGTTTAATTAGGTATCTAAGGACGCACACGCCCCAAAGCAATCAGTCTGATGAGCACAACTCGTGCGAAACTAGTAACGATTACTATTGCTTTCAATAAGCTATTTATCTACTGGTGAAGCCTCACTAGTCAGTATACCTATCGAGAGGTTGGGTAATGAATGATCCCGGGGTGTACAAAGTTGATCCGGGCGATCGTTAACAAGACTGTTTACGAGTATGTCACGAAAAATACAAAGGAGAATCAACCCTTTTCATAATAGACAACTGCAGTGCAAGTAAAGAACTTACCAAAAATAAAAATATGCTTTCATATTTAGCATTCTCCGGTCGGCATACTCTGTATAGCGTTTGGGCAACTGCTAAGCAAAAATATAGCAACTGCTAAGCAAAATTATAGCAACCGCTAAGCAAAAATATAGCAAAAATACGATAAATTGAACATTAGCGGTTATTATGTAATAATGTGGTTCTTTTACAAGTTTATTATTTCGGGCTGTATTGGATATGCCATATCTTATTATGTTAGACTTAAATATTAGAGTTGTGACGATTAATCGATATGTATTCGAATCACGATCTCTAGGTATCGGATACGATATATCGATATGGTTTCTTTGTATCGATACAATAACGATACATTTCATTGAATAAATTAATCTGTTCTGAAACAAAAGATTTACTCGTAATACAACCAGAAACGCTGTCTCGTGGACACCGCTATGTTTGAGGTTGCTATGCAACGTTTAATCTCGTCTAGCCTCTCTAGTTAAAATGGCGGCTCTTTGTGAGGCAAGCGATGTGTCAGAGTTTATAAAGCCTCTGGCATCATTTAAAAGTGCTGTGTGGAAGCATTTCCTTCTGTCGAGAGACAAAACAAAGGCAGCACATTTGAAGAGACGCCACGCGAGTGAAGATGTTCAAATTCACAAGAGGGCAAAACTGGATCCTCAAACTTCCAAATCGTCGTTGAAGAATTCTGCTGGTGAGAATATCATGAACATGTTTCGTCGTAAAGAGAAACTGCCTCCTAATAGTGAACGATCTAAGGCTATCACTAAGGCTCTTGCTCAGTTTATTGTCAAAGATCTCCAGCCATTTTCAATCGTTGAGAGTGAAGGGTTTGTGAATTTAGTTAAAACTCTGGAGCCGAGGTACAAACTTCCAAACAGAAAAACTTTATCAAAGAAAATAATTCCAGAAATGTATGAGGAGACAAAGCAAGAAGTCATAGATAAACTCAGTCAGGCAGAAGCAGTTTCGTTGACCACTGATGGTTGGACAAGAATAATCGAGGAGTCACACACAGGGGTAAACATTGGTAAAGTGCTGAAAGATGCATTGGAAGAGTGGGGTCTACAGCATAAACAGACTGACCTTGTCACAGATAATGCTGCCAATACAGGGATAGCGGCGGAGGTGGCAGACATGAAACACATATCCTGCTTTGCTCATACTTTGAATTTGGCCACCCAAAAAGGACTCAAGTTACCCAGAGTAGCCCCACTCTTGGGAAGGGTCAGGACAATAGTGGCGTTCTTTCACAGGAGCACAGTATGATTCAAAGTTACCTCCAACTTCAGCCTGCCATATATGCCACTCTCATTGCAACTAAGGAAATCAAGAGAAAGGAAACAGATATCAATACACTCAGCGAGACAGACATCCAAAACTTAGAAGGAGCAACTGAAGTCCTTTGTGAGGAGAAGTTTCCAACACTGTCCATCGTTGCCCCAATGCTCCATTTGATAAAGACTCAGATGTTCATCAAAGATGAAGATCCACCTTTTGTGAAAGAGGTCAAGACAGCCCTTTTTGCAGATCTCAACAAGAGGTATACAAAACCAGAAGTGTTGCAAATTCTACATACTGCATCAGCAGTAGATCCAAGATTCAAGTCCCTGCCCTTCTTGAAGGATGATGAAAAGGCTTCTGTCTTAACAGATCTATCAACATCTGTAGCTGAGTACTGGGATAGCAATTGTGTATGTATATCTAGTTTATTCTATCCCATTAAACTTGAATATCACAGGCCATATTCCATATACTAACTCACTGTATTAAGAAAGTAAAAAATAACAAGTATTTGTCACAGAGTGACGAAATATCCCCCGCCATATACACCATAGTACCAAATATGAAGACAATCCAGCGATTAGTTCTTGAGATATTGTGGCAACACCGTTTTCCAACTCCAAAAACAGATTTGCCTGCTGTGACCTTGAAAATGGGGTCAAGGTCACCAAATCTGACAGGTGTATGGGGTGTCTGTATATACACTATAGTTCCAAATATGAAGACAATCCAGCGATTAGTTCTTGAGATATCGCGGCAACACCGTTTTCTAACTCCAAAAGCAGATTTGCCTGCTGTGACCTTGAAAATGGGGTCAAGGTCACCAAAACCGACTGGTGTCTGCGGTGTCTGTATATACACCATAGTTCCAAATATGAAGACAATCGAGAGGTTTAGTTCTTGAGATATCGCGGCAACACCGTTTTCCAACTCTAAAAGCAGATTTGCCTGCTGTGACCTTGAAAATGGGATCAAGGTCACCAAAACCGACTGGTGTCTGCGGAGTCTGTATATACACTATAGTTCCAAATATGAAGACAATCCAGTGTTTAGTTCTTGAGATATCGCGGCAACACCGTTTTCCAACTCCAAAAGCAGATTTGCCTGCTGTGACCTTGAAAATGGGGTCAAGGTCACCAAAACCGACTGGTGCCTGCGGTGTCTGTATATACACCATAGTTCCAAATATGAAGACAATCCAGTGTTTAGTTCTTGAGATATCGCGGCAACAAACAGGTGGGACGTACGGACGGACGTACGGACGGTCGTGAATACTATATCCCCCGCTTCGCGCTTTCGCGCGGCGGGGGATAATTAGAATGAAATTTATCAGTTATGAATGACAATTTTGAAATTTGTATATTTTTCTTCTGAAGTTTATATTTCATGTACATGAATTTATGAAAACAATGCAATCTCTATTTTCATTTTTCAGCCACTGACAAAGGTGAAGCAGGAACCTGAACCAACACAGCACCAATGGACCCACCCCTGCCCAATTTGAATCCAGTCCCATCTGTTGACGAAGATGTCGCTGTTGTCAAGACAGAAAAAGACACTGCAGACAGTGGTGCCGAGTCATCAGGGTGCCTGTCCAGATTGTTTGGAGACGTGTATGTGGTCAAGGTAGAGTCTGCATCCCCCCCTCGTCCAGCCAGGTCATCCTTGTCACAAGCTCTAGATGAGATAGAAAGCTACTGTAAAGTACCATCTCTACTTGTGGACTCCAATCCACTTGATTGGTGGAGAGTGAATCATCATCTGTATCCAATGATAGCACACTATGCAAAGTCAGTATTATGTATTCCAGGCACATCAGTACCCTCAGAGAGAGTTTTCTCTACACTTTCAGATAGTCATTTGCAGCAATCTTTGTTAGATGATGATAATTGACTTTTATTAATTGTTAAGAATTTGACAGATTATTGAGATTAAGATTTTTGTGTGCAAGACTGACTTGTAAAGCAAGTACTGTTTTGTTAGTTTTGTTGCTGACTTTTAAGAACACTTAGCAATGTCATATATGTTTTGACAGATCATATTATATGGTATTAACACTTTTGACTGAATGAATAATTGAATATTAGTGATTGGTCATTTTAACTCATGCAAGTATTTTATTCTGCAAGAATTCCTTCATAAACAGGTATGGTGCTAATTATTATTGTACCTTTCTGACTGTACCAAGTGCCAATTGAGATTGATATTTGATATTATTCTTGTTAACATTTTGACTGAGTGAACTTTTGCAATCATTACTAAATATTTCTAGTAACAGTATTGTCAGTTGTGACACTTTGAGTGTTCTAAAGTTCAAGTTGTGTAAACTGAGAGTGAAAATTGAGTTTCAGTTCCAAGTCCATTCCAAACTGTTCAATATAAGCTTGATTATATTTCTTGCTCAGGGACATGCAATTTCAGTATAAATAGAAAATATGCTGATTTCAGTGTGATGAAAATTATTTGTGTTTTAGCCAATCATGGTTTAATGGCCAAGAAATATTTATTTTCATATGTGTGCCAAATTACACTGTGTGCCAAATTGATTTTTATTTTGTATTTTCCTAATTAAAAGTTTCAAATAAAAAGTTTTTGAGATCTTTCTTTCATCTAACTTCTTGAATTTAAGAACAAAATTACATGGATTACACAAAACAAAACTGCAGAATTTAGTTTAAAGATTTTATTTTCTTAAAAACAGGCATGTTCAGCAGTAAATTGTGTATCGTGATACATATCGAATCGAATCGAATCGTAAAGCAAATATCGCGATACGTATCGTATCGGTTTCAATGTGTATCGTCACAACTCTATTAAATATCTCCTTAGGTATAACATGATGAACTCATCGAATAAATGCTTAAAGAACCTGATCAACATGTAGATCAACATACAGATAAACATAGAGAAAGACTCGTGGCTTTGGTAGCCGGTGGAAAATGTTCCCAATATTTGGGGGAAAATTATACCACTGAAAAAATTGATAACATGTCCGACGAAGAAATTAAAAAACTGTACGCGCGTTACGAGTCTAGACTGGGAGCTACCATGACTAAAACAATAGGTTCGGCTATGTTACAACTTTACACAGTCGTAGCTAGTACGTTTCTCCCTATCCAGACAGAACATCGCTCGAATTTATGCGAATCTCTCGAGAAAAACCCGTTCATCGAACACGCTATAAGCGCAGTAAGCTGTGAGTTTTATCATAGATACGGGATGTTCTTAGCTCCGGTGACCACCGCTTTAATAACGGCTAGGTATTGTCAATTTAAACATAAGTGCCCACTTACTAATAATGGAGACTCAAGTGACACCACAGATTGTGGAAACACAATCACAACAAGTGAACGAGGAAATAACCCTGATTGCACAACAGATTGTGGAAACACAATCACCACAAGTGAATGAGGAAATACCAGCGATTGCACAAAAACAAGCTAGAGTGACTAAGAATCCTCGAAAAGTTGCAGCTGGTAGGAAGGGTGCGCTAAACTAATACACAATTCAAATATTGAACATAGTCGTCCGATTAAAACTTTGGCTCCCTATGCACTAGGGGTTGTTGCTATAGCAGCGGTATGGTTGTTTTATAAGACCGGAGAAGAGAAAACGTCACCCCCGATTGTGCAATCACAACAACAAGTTCAATTAGAGTTAAGCCCTCATATAATGTTATAATAGCAATAACTACTCCAGTTACAGACGGTAAAATGTTGGTAAACTCAACGTATCATTCAGCGGTGGTCAGCAGCTTGGCCATTGGCTATGCCCGTATGGCTAAAATGATCACTAAAGCCACACCACCCAAGCTAGATTTTAATGGTTATGATATCGGTATGATCATTCTTCATATAGGATTGGCAATGGCTACAAAAGATATGCTTATCAAACAAGGGCTTATCCCAGAAGACATAATGAAGTAATTAAACATTTGAATATTTTATATTATTGAACATTTGAATATTTTATATTCATATAAAACATTTGAATATGGCAACAATTGCAATGATGGTCGGTGGAGCTATTATTAATGCTTTAGCTTTTTCGGGGAGTAATTTTTTATTTTCTACTATGAGAGGAGAGGAGCGTAAAAGGCATAATAAAACATTAAACCAACTCGAAACAGCCCAGTCACAATGGGTCCGAAATAGGATGTTAAGATTAGATTTTATTAATGATGAACTGCGTATACGTAAAGAGGGGCATTCAATTCAAACGTTTAAGGATGTTGAATCTGCCATGCACGAATACTTCCTTGTTTATGGAAAGAAACTTGATCCAATACCGAGACCAACAATAAGTCAGTTTCATACACCGTCAGAGGCTCAGAAAGACGGCGAGAGAGCGTATATAGTGTTTGGGCTATCAGTCATTGCTATTTTTAGCTACACAATAACTACGCACGATCCATGATCTATTGCGTATGAACCATTAATAATAACCCTGACAGCTAATCTATAAATAGTGCTGACAACTATGATTCACCAGTGGAGATGTGATTTGCATTTAGACAAATGATATGATAGATGTATTATAACCAGGGTATTTTGGAAAAAGGGGTTTTTAATATTTACTTAAAATGTAGTTTACTAAATGAAGCTTTTGGGTAAAATATGGATGCATATGAGAGAAGTGACCGTACAGGGTCAGGGCAACAACTCCTGGGGCAAGTGATTATTGGTTTTGCTTCTCTTAAGTGATAGAGTTTACTTTTCATTAGTACAATGAATTAGGAGAATTGGTCTTGCAATAAAAATGTCAGAAGGGAGATAGATAGATGGAACAAAATTGTTAGTCTTGTGGTGATCAAATATTTATGAGTATTACTGCTTGATTAGAATGTCAAAATAACATGATTAAGTATCTTTTCGGTGCCTTCCAGTCTGGCAGAGTACTTGAGGGTATTTGATTACATGAGTATGTCCGAGTTGACCAATGACCCTAGAGAGGTAATCAAATTGGTTAGACCAAAGGGCTTGATGATAAAACTAATTACTATTGAAATTGGGGAATGACCATTATGACTCATTTCTCATGATGTCAAATGTGATTTTGGAGGGAGGAGCTAAAATTATCATCGATAGTATTTTGTGAGTTGTCCGAGATTGGTGCGGGGAGTCGGGAGCATACAGCTGAGCAGAAAGGTTCACTGTGGTTTTGGGATCCCGAGTCAGAAAAGAAGTAGAGTTAACGTTCATCAGAAAAACCATCAGGCTCTTCAACCATCATCTAGGTATGTGTTGTATTTATATCAGGCAACAACAAGAACTAATCTGAGGACCATGTGTACATATTTATGATTAATTCTATCATAAATAAAAAGAGGCTGGAGCAAACCATCTGACTTGTGATTTTCAAGAGAGCTACATCATCCCTAGAACCAAGGAGTAGTTGATAAGGACAAGTGACCATAGGTAGAAGGGTAAAGTACCCGGAACCTAAGGTTACATATGGCGGAAATGCTCTAAGATCACCGTACCATGCTCATCGCAAGTTTGAACGGTTTGCATCTGCAGCGGAGTTGGACACTTGATGGTTGTTTGCCTGACACGAGCCGAAGCTATTTGCCATTCACGGTAGGTGATGTCCTGTAAAGCGTGAATTGATTGTGAGGGATGTGTTTTGCCCTTGTATTGGTGAACTATGCTCACCAGCGGGACTATGGTTCACTGTTTGAAAGCCTTGGGGTGGTCAGTTTCCCATGAAGAGACTGTGTTATTGATTTCTTTGGTAGTACGGCTACTACCATAACAGTGATATTGATTTTCTAGTGTGGGACAGTCATACTGATGGAGGACCCTTGCTGCACACTGGTGTGCATAGGAACTTTCTGCGGTATTATAAGACTGTTTTTATCTCTCATCACCAACAATGAGCATGAGACGTCTTGAAATTATGATGTTGAATTTGGACATATTGTCAGGGAAGAACCAAAGTGACTCAAAATGTTTCATGACAATGAAAATTGTTCTGCCTCTGATATTACAGAGACAAATGACAGTTTATTTTCAAGAGGACTTGGGAATAAGGACAAATTAGGGAACAATTTTGCAGCTTTAGCAAGGGCTTTTTCCCTAAGTCAGTTTTCTCTTGAGAAATTCAATGGAAGTGATCCAGAAATTGCAAGTTCATGGTTAAGCAGATATGAGAAATTTAATTCTTTACATAATTATTCAGAAGAATGGACAAAGACAGCATTTAGTTTATGGTTAGACAAAAATGCTTTGAAGTGGCATAAAGCTCAAGACTTCAGTGAAAAGTCCTGGAATGAGGTGAAGACAGCTTTCCTTGCAAGGTACAAACTAAATTCAGCAAAAAGATATGAAAGACTAGACAAGCTTTATAATAGGAAACAGAAACAGTCTGAGGATTTTGAGGACTTTCTTCAAGAATTGCAATATGAAGCAAAACGTCTTGAAAGACTAGACGACAACTTTCTCATGGATGCCGTCATTAGGAATTCTCAACCTCACATTAAACAGTTCATTTTGACAAGATTGC